ACCAATTATTTCTATGTTAAGGTATTGCTTGTCTGGGAGTAAATACGAAAGGAAAGGTGAATTTCTTTTTAGAAAACCTGTAAAATATAACAAACTGATTTTTAACTTATCGAAAAGTCAAGTTTTGCATTTTTTTACGAGCAAGGAAGTGAGCCGAACTTATATAAGTTTACTCACCTAATACCACTTTGTAGTTCAATTAAATCACAAATCACAAATTATATATCACATTAGGGATTAAACAGATGAGTAATTTCTTAGGCATGATACTACTCTGTTTATTAATAACAGGACATGTTTAACTAATTTAATTAAATTAAAGAAGTTAAGCTTCACACTTTCTTCATAATTATAAAAGTAACCTTTTGATTAAATTCTATATAAATTATATATTCCACATATTTATGTTTTTTAAATAAAAAAATAATGTATTTCTCTTAAAAAACAAAATCAACCTAGCAGATTATATATGAAGGGGAGTTAGCTTCCCAGAAAATTGCGGATTCAGCCGAGCGGGGGTTCTAGATGTTCCCAATGTATGTGGTCAAAATTTTGAATAATGAATGAGATACTCTAACACATTCATTGCGTCTTATATAATACATATAAAATTTATATACTTCTTTTGTTTATTTTATTTCAATGCACATAAAATAAAAAATTGCAAAATCAGAATTGTCACGTGAAAATACAATACATGGGAGTGACGATACAATGTTAATTAAAATAAGAAAAAAACTTAAGTCAAATTATTTATATTTATTATGACAAATTTTTCAATCACACAACCATATTTTTTTTATTTAATGTGATTTTATAATTAAATGATAATATTTTAAAAATAAGATATATAATCGTATGTGATCAAAAAACTTGATATTAGTGTTGTTCTTAAAATAATATATATATTAATTTTGAGAATAATGATTTCCAGTGAAGACTATAAAATAATTATAAATGACAACATCCAAATTTATGCATACGAAAAAATAGCATAATAAGAATTATGGAAGATATAATAAAAATATATCAGAAATACAAAATAGAATGAAATTAAGAGACGGAACACTTTTCATAATTTATCAAAAGCAAGATATAATAAATATTGCTTATAAATGATCTATTCTTCTTTTTTTGGATATCATTTATTTTCTCCTACCAAACACAACACACATGTCATAGATTGGCATCTTATGTGGTCATTGTGAATACACAAGTCGAATTCAAATTTCTTCTGATAAAGTCCAAACATAAAACCCAAGTCTTGCCTCTTCTAGAATTTTTTTGAGAAAAAATATCAAAAAGTAAAATAAAAATTAAAAAAATTCATTTATGGGTAATTATTAGTGGTTATCCCATATCACGTAACCCCGTCATCAAAATCAAATTATTATGAAAAAGATATATGAACTGAAAAAACAAGAAGACAAGGCAGGCTTTTGCATTCTGAAAGATGAACCTCGCCTACGTGGCACCTTATTTCTTGTTAGCCAAGGATCTCTGGGCGCGATGCATTACTCAGCCACGCACCCTACGCGGAGAACTTTGTCCAGTCACATTTAATTTAATTTTGATATATATATTATTTATTATCCAGAAAATCTGTCACCCATTCTAATATATAAAGGCAGTATAGGGTGGGACGGTGACAAAAGGCATGATCACCTTTTGGATTAAAATGCTTGTTTTTAAAGATTTTGATAAGAAAGGTCCTTCACTGGATAAGATCAAAAGGATCTTAACTAAACTATTCGTGCGGATCATTACGGGACATAATGCCCCACCAATTGAGTCATTTGTGAATAATGAAAGTAAGCATATGAATCTAATAAGAAAGTTAATTTAATTAATTTGCCTTTCACACCTCTGTTACGCCCTCTGTATATGGAAGATCTTCCTTTGTTTCCGCAGCGCAAGTGTGCTTATATTTGTTGATGATTTAAAAAACAATTTATTTGTGGTTTAGGTCATGAACTTTAAAATTTATTGAATCGTGTCTTACACTTACTAACAATTTATTTTAAGTGGTTTTAGGTGGTGAAGAACAGTTTATTTAAGTAGTTTTGGTGAGAAATGCATATCTTGAACCGGCTAGTCAGGTGGCAGGTGCATTTATTGAGAAGAGTTTCGTATATACATTTCTTTTTTTCGCGTATAGCATTTGGTATCTTAGGACAGGGTATCTTTCAGGCACCACAACAGTTCTAGACTAATTTGGATTGTCGTTTGAAGGCCCCTCGATGGGGGATCGACTGAACACTAATTTTGGTTCCACCCAAATAAATTCAATGTTGAAATATATAAGATTAATACAATTTTTAATCCTTTCGTCTTATATGAATTTTATTTTTAGTCCTTCAAATTTTATTTTCGATAAAAAAATAAATAAAATTTTAAATTATAAGTTTTGATCTTTTTAATAATAAAATGGTCCAACTATTTATTAAATTATAGAAATTAACGTTTTAGACAGAAAGAAACTTAGTAACTAAAATTTGTATCAACTATCCACCCAATTATATAGTTATATAATTATTGATACACACACGTAACATTTCATAATACTACTTTTAATTCTAATTATGATATTTTATTTATAATTTATAAATAAAATCTTATAATTAGAATTAAAAGAAATAGATAATAACAAGCTAAGTTTTATATTTAACAACAAAGCTAATTGTAATTTTCAGTTTTTCACAAGGAGCATGCTTGGTGAACCATTGAAATTTCGTACACGACTGACAACTGACAAGTTCCGTGTGTCTACCCTAGGGCTGTGCAAAAACCCGGTGGTCCGGTATGGTCCGGTCCAACCCGAGCAAACCCGGTCCAGTCCAGTCTAGAAAAAATTGGCCCGAAACAAGACTGGACCAGACTGGACCGGACTGGTCTCATCGGGCTGGACTGGACAAGGGACTGGCCCCTCAGACTAATTGGTCCAGTCCAGTCTAGCCCGGTTTTTTTAAATTATTATTTATATAATTTTAATTTGATTTAATTTTTCTATATAAATTTTTTATCTATTCAAATAATCAAGATTTATCTATTAACTTTCTAAGTAATAAGCATGCATATATATTTTCTACAATTTAAGATCTATATTGACGAGGATTAATTAATAAAACATGATTTCATTGGGAAATTGAAAAGGAATTATCAAATTTGATAAACTTTGGATTAAAATATGTGCAAAATTTTATATAGTAAGTTACAATCTTGCCTCCTATTGAAGAAAAAAATTTAAAAAAAAAAATTAAATTTAAGTCTGGACTGCCTGGACTGGTCCAGGCAGTCCAGAGGACCAAGTCTAGTCCAACCCGACCTCGGGTTGGCACTGGACTGGACCAGACCTCGGGCTGTCTTTTTCAGCCCGAGGTCTTTATTGGACCAGACTTCAGGTTGATAACAAACCCGGTCCAGTCTGGTCCATGCACACCCCTAGTCTACCCGTATACGCGTGTCATTTTCCATGGCATTCTTCCAGAACTCAATTCATGGATTCGAAGAAGGTTAAGAAAAATGACCAGTCAAGACTAAAAAGTAACAGCTCAAAAAAAAAAAAGACTAAAAAGTAACAGCTGAGAGAAGCTGGCAAAATTTCCTCGTTTGATTATTTTTGTTAATTGAGATCTCCAATCATTAACATTCGAATCCCCCCCGGGCTTTTTTTCGATGTGTTCTAATTAACATATAGGCTCATGCATTGTTGAGGGCCTGAAAAATGAATTGTGTCATCTATAACTTTATAGTTTGTTAAAAGTTATATACTCCTCTGGTCCTTAATATAGGGTCCAATTGGTGAGTTGGTTTTAGTCCTAAATATAAGACCTATTTCTCATATTTATCAATTATCTCTAAATTACCCCTATGGATATCCTTTCAACCATAATCAAGTAGAAGAGAAAGATGAGGTATTAAGAAATATGATTATGGTATTTTAGAAAAAACGTGTCATATTTCTTATAATTAACTAACTTACCTAACTTCCTTAATCTAATCCAATTAGTTAAATGGATCTTATATTAAGGACCGGAGGAGTATATATATATAATACTACTCCCGGTCTTTAATATAAAATTTTGTTTGATTTTTATTTTAGTTCTAGATATAAGATCTAAATCCATTTTGTTTCTCATATTTATTTATTTATTCTCAAGATAGTCATTCTAATCAAGATAGTTCTAACAAGTAAATATGATTAGTAAGGATATTTTAGAAAAAATAACATATATTTGTTATAAATAATTAACTTAATTTATTTTCTTAATCTACTCAAATTAGTTAATTAGCTCTTATATTTAAAACCGGAAGTAGTATATAAATATACGGATATTTTTATAAGCAAATACACTAACAAAAAATATCAAGGCATAAGAATATTCGTCACTTTGACATATCCGAGAAATGAAGATCATATCTCCTCAGAAAAGGTGCTGCGAGGAGAACAAGAAATCCAGCCATGCAACAAGATGCCTTTTACAGATTTTTTTCCCAAAAAAAAAGATCCTTTAAAAGTTTTTATGTTGAGAGGTTTATTTATTCGTTTTCAAAATTAATTTTGATCAAATTTATAAAATATAAATTGAATGTTCATTGTTATTTTTCACGTCGCATTAAAGAGTTATTATAAGCTATAAAATTACACTCAACGATATATGATCAGTGCAATTTACATGGATTCAAGGAATGAATCATCACTTTTACAAATTATAAATTTTATTAATATTTTAATATTAATAAATTCACAATGTTTAATTCTTTTATTTATTTATTTTCAGTTTCATTCTTTTTTTGGGTAATATATTTTCAGTTTCGTTTCTACCGAAATTATTCTCCTTGGTTCCCATATAAAATCATATATTGGAAGGTTGAGAGACCAAGACCGACGTTGAGCCCATCTTCAGCCCATGATGGGGGACACAACCCAGCCCAAACTGCAGAGCTTTCTCGACTGCTGACTGGCAAACAACTGTGTGAATTTGGCGCAAAAAGATGAAAACAAAGGAGCAAAAGAAAGATACCAGAAAAATCAAAGAATCGCCCAAGAGTAACGGTCTCTCTTGAGCGCTTCGTTTTGGTTTCGCCTCTTTGCGTTGCTCCATCCGAGGCTGAGAGCTTGAACTACTTTCTAAAGGATGGGCCTACTGTCTTTATGGCGCGCTGGGACGAGGCTTGCTCTGGTTACCTCCACCATTAGCGGTGGTGCCGCCGCTGCCGCCATAGCCACCTCCGATGATCCTGAAACGACTCTCAAGCTTTGCACCACCGTGCCCCATCGCCTCATCCGCGACGCCATCACCGCTGCCAATATTGCTTTCGGTACTCTCGATCTCTCTGAACTAGCATAATTGGAGCCTTGCGTTACCGTGTTATCTTAGTTTGTGAATTTTTATTCTTTTTTAGCTCCCGTCCTGCCATCGGTTCATTTGAGCTTAAGTGTTTCCCTTGAGCGAATGAATCATGGGAGTCAGGTGGCGGGATCTTTGAAGGTTGGTCAGGAGTGAAGAGATTTAGCTTTTTGAACTGGAGTAGGTTCTAATTCGGAAAATAATTGTATAGAACTTGCCTTCCGTGTAACCAATGCAAAGGCCGAGGTTTTATCTTCAAATAAGATTGTTGTTTGCATTTGGTTTTGGTGATAATGTACAGGGTTGACGCATTGATAATTCAATGAGGACGTGATCATTTGCTAATATGCGCCCCATTAATAAGAGAAAATCGCAAAGTTATTAGTAGCTTTCTTTGTGAACAAAGCTGGGCTTAAGCTGGTTTTCTTCTTATATGCATTAGATTATGAATATTCTCTTTGGGGACTGCCGGAAGGAAGTAATGAGCGGTCAACAGTCACGCACGAAGTTCACCTCCGCTCTGCTCGTAAACTTCAAGAGCTGTGTTTTAAGAACGGAGGGGTTTATATAAAGCTTGGCCAACATCTTGGGCAGTTGGTGTGTTGATCTACTCTTTAAATCTTATGCATGAAATGCAAGTCTGATTTATGTTCAGTCAAGAATGCTTAATTCAATTTTTAAATCTTATACATATTCTTGACTCTTGACAGGAATATTTAATTCCTCAAGAATATGTCCAGACAATGAGGGAGTCCATGTTGAACAAATGTCCAGTTTCTTCATATGATCAAGTATGCCAGGTCTTTAAGAAAGAACTTGGAGAAACACCTGACACAGTATGTTTAATTTCTTCTTGACTGAAGCTTCATTTTAACTGGAATGATTTGGCATTCCCATGTGCTCCAAATGCTTATTTGTTAAATGTTATGAAATATAGCTTGGCGGCCGCTGAATTTAGCCTTCTAATGTGCAGGTATTTTCTGAATTTGATCCAGTTCCAATAGCAAGTGCTTCCCTTGCCCAAGTTCATGTAGCCCGCACCCATGATGGCCAAAAAGTTGCTGTGAAGGTTTTGGATCGTGAACTTTTTCCATTTATTGATGATCAGTATATTTTGAATCAAATTTCTTTCTATGAATTAAGCATTAGTTTTTCTTATGAAAATTTCTTGTACATGTCCTTGGAATTTGTCAATATCCAGGTTCAACATACTCACATGACTGATACTGCGGCTGCAGATCGTGCCACTGTGGAATTTGTTGTGAACACTTTGCATAGGGTTTTCCCCAGTTTTGATTATAGGTATAATTTCAATGCCTTTACCTGTTCGGGATAAGCCACCTTAATGATTGAGAAATTTAGGAGCCATCTAGGTCTGTAACATGCGTATCCTAACTGACAGATGCCTGTAAATTTTAACTATTAAAGGAACTGAGGGATCTAAGTTTTCTGAAAAATAATTAATAAGCCTTATCTATCTCCCACTATGTTGTGTTGCAATTGCATTGATGGTACAGTTCTTTTTACTTCTGTCTTCAGGTGGTTGGTTGATGAGATACAGGAAAGTTTACCTAAGGTGAGCTGCTAACTTCAAAACAAATGCTTGGGCCTATAAAAGTATAAATATCTCTTGCACAATGGTTTATCACTTATTTTGAGTTAATTAATGATGTTGCTATTGTTTTTCCCCCATGCATAGCACAAAGACACGTGATTGAGAGTGTATTTCTGTGTGTAAAGTTGATTTCATAGTGCATATATCATTTAATATGATGATGCAGGACAAACACATACTCTAAGAAGGAAAGGGAAAAGAGGATTTGAGGAGAGAAAAATAAGGCGTTGGTGGACATTAATAATTTTTTGCTTGTTGTGGTAAAATTTAAGTTATACTGGCTTTTTGAAATCCTTTGGACATAGATTCATCATACTGAATGCAACCCCAAAGGTAACACATTCAACATATATCACCTCTAAAGGAAATTTTAATTTTGTGGGCAGTGAAAACTAGAAATACTTTCATTGGCTAATTGAAGTTTCTAATTTCATAGGAAATTAGGAATCAAAGGAAAATAGACTTGATTGAAAAGATTACAGGATTAAACTCTTGGTTACTGATGAGCTAATGATTTAAACTAAATGACCTAGAGTTCGAATTTTTAAGCCACATGCAACTTATGTTTATTCTACTCTATCCCCAATACTTCTATTGTTCTTATTAGTTCTATATTATTCCTTTCCATAAAATGGATCAACGAAGCTGATGTGAAGTTGTTTTTCTTTTCTTTTTCTTCTTGTCTTTTTTTTTTTTTGGGCTAATACATTTTAAATTTGATATTTGATCATTTTATTAGAAGACTTTTTTTTAAAAAAAAAAAATCTAGACATTCTAACTGAGCTTATTCAAGAAAAAATCCTTAAGCGCATGTTTTTTTTGTGGATGACATGGTTCTTAGGGTTGAATCAAAAGAAGAGATTAACGCTAGATTGGAGTTATGGAGGAGGGCCTTGGAGTCGAAGGGTTTTTGCTTGAGTAGGAGTAAAACAGAATATATGCATTGCAATTTTGAGGGGAGGCACGTCAATGGTGATTTGGAGGTGAAGATGGGAGATCAAATCATTCCTTAAGTGTCAAAGTTAAAATATATAGGATTCATTATATATGAGGATAGTGAAATTGATGGAGATGCTTCTCATAGAATACAAGCTAGGTGGTTAAAGTGGAAGAAGTCTATTAGAGTTATTTGCAATAAGAAGGTACCTGAGAAGCTTAAGGGAAAATTCTATCAGATTGCTATAAGACCAACTGTATTGTATAATAGTAAATGTTGGGTGATAAAAGGAAAACAAGAGCATAAAGTTAGGGTAATAGAAATGAAGTATACAAAAAAAGATAAGATTCGAAATAAAAATGTCAGAGTAAGAGTAGGTGTGGCAATTACTGAAGAGAAAATGGTTGAATATCGTTTGGGGTAGTTTGAGCATGTGCAGAGAAGGCCATTAGAAGCTCCATTGAGAAGGGTAGATCAGATAGTTTGGAGTCCTATAAAAAAGGACAGAAGAAGAGCCAGGAAGACGCTTAATGAGGTCATTGAATGAGACCTTTTGGTCAACAACATATTTAAAGACTTGGTTGTTAATAGAGCACAATAGCGTTGTGTGATCCATGTAGTTGACTCCACTTAGTGGGATAAGGCTTGTTATTGTTGTTGTATTGGAAAACCTTTTTTTTTTTTTTGGTCCTTTTTGCTAGTGGGATTTTTTTTCCTTGTAAAAAATTCATACGAGTGTGTTAGAGTCTAGTATAATAACAAGAAAATCTGCATATTGAAAGAATTGACTAGTTAGAGAATTAATGGTTTCATTGAAGTCCAATTTTTGAATCCTGAGTTGAGATAAATATACCCGTTATACTTGTTCTCTTTTCCGTGCTTTTCGTATATAGCAGGTAGTATAAAAAATTGTTGGTTTAGTCAGATTTAAGATTCAAGAATCTTGCATAAACCCGTTAAAAAATTTCCTTGACCTATGGAGGACTTTGGTACTGTTCTTATTCACTGGTAGATCCATGTTCGAGTTCTGTTTTCTACTTTTTTCTTGTTTGCTTCTTTCACGAAATGATTTCTGATCTGTTTAGTTGATATTTTGGCTTCCAGGAATTAGACTTTCTGATTGAGGCAAAGAATAGTGAGAAATGTTTGGAGAACTTCCGGAAGTTTTCTCCTCATATTGCGAACTATATATATGCACCAAAAGTGTATTGGAATCTAAGCACCTCAAAGTTACTAACAATGGAATTCATGGATGGTGCCCAAATAAGTGATGTGAAGACCATCAGAAGGCTTGGGATCCATCCGCATGAAGTTTCAATATTGGTAAGTGCTGATGAGATATGATTCTTGTTGACTCTAGAAGATTTGGATTATTTAGAATTCAATTACTTAAAATCTACTTTATTTCCAGATTCTGTCCAAATTATTAGGAGATTCACTTTTCAGCTGTTGCTCAATAATTCTCTCCTAGAACTTCTCCATTATATGTTGATTTGAGCACAGTATAGTTGCTATCAATGCTTTGAGGATCATGTTTCTATTCTTCGAGTAAACAGATTCGAGGATCTGGTTCTGCTGTGGGGATTTGTCATAGATCTATGGGCTACTTGTCTCAAGAATGACTGATATTTGGAATCCTACTTACCCATTGTCAGCTATGCTTCAACTTTGGAGTGTATACCACAGTAGTAGACCATGGATGGTTATACAATGAAATGATGGATAGGTGATAGTCTTTGGGCGGTTTATTCTAACAAATTATTATTCTGAAATCTTGGATTACATATGTCATGGCTATAAAAGAATGAGTCAACAAAGTTGGTTAGTCAACCGATAAGCTTTTTTCAATTATTGCATATGATATGCAGTCGGTGAATTATATATCTGTGGTCAATATAATTTAGTAAAATGTGATAATTGTCTATGCAGGTCACTCAAACTTTTGCTGAAATGATGTTTAAGCATGGATTTGTGCATTGTGATCCTCATGCTGCTAACCTATTGGTTCGTCCGTTGCCTTCTAGCAAAATGAACATCATGGGTAAGGATTTGTCCCCTTGCCAAATTTGAAGTCTTTCTACAGCTGTGGTTACAAGATCCAAGTATACTCTAAAAATTCCCCACAAGCCACTGAAAACTCTATATCTTTTAGCATTTGACACTTGCTAGTCCAGTGAATGCTTTGTCACATCTTTTGTAGTTTAACAAAA